AGAAAGAGGGAGGGAGACAGAGAGACAGAGAGACAGAGAAAGAGACACAGACACAGACAGACAGACAGACAGACTGACAGACAGAGACAGACAGAGACAGAGAGAGAGAGTAAACAGTGTAATTATAATATAACTTTGTCGAGTGGGATTACTCAGAAAAGAACACATATTATGCCTATTATCCAGAAACAGACACTGAGACTAATGGCAATTATACTATTAGTCAAATATTTACAATGCCAATTCGACCAAAAATACTTTCCTGTTCTATAATAACGTTTTCATTTGTAGCAAAGCATGATTCTCAAAATAGCATGCTTTCCTTGAGCTTAGAATAACTAAAAGAAAAAAAAATCTGACATAACTACAAATAATGTAGTTAGTCGAAAAGATAATATCATATCAAGGCAAGAGGCCAAATCAACTATCCCTTTTCGACCAAAAATACATTCCCATTTTACAATGAGAAAAAGTAGATTTTATAATGTACAATATAACATGAATTCAAACTTCTGATTCTCAAAATAACTTGCTTTCGTGCTTAAATGAGTGTGATTATAATATAACTTGTAATGATTCAGATTAACAAACTAACATAGCACACCAATTCAACTTATTTTCGGCAACAGTAAAACATCTCGTTTGTTTGAGCAAAGGGACGCACTTTGATACAACAATGGCAATTTACTGCTTGGGAAAAGTAAGACAGACAGAAAGAAAGAAAGAAAACAGAGGAAAAGAAAAGAAGTAGGACATACCCGTGGTGCCCTACAACCACCCTCACAGTAAATACTATAGAGACGTATTGGCACTTCAACAAGCCTGCGGTATGTCAATATGAAACTATAAGCGTAGTCTGAGGCCAAAACATTAGTGGAGTTGAGATTTTAGGGTGACGTGAGAAGCTATTGCATAATCGTGCGTAGTGTGTCTTGTCAAGTAATGAGAGTTGGGTAAAGGAAATTGGACACCCCAAATTAAATTATTTATGCATTCGTAAATAATATGTTTACTAACGTAACAAAACACAGACACACGATTTCACATAGATAGATAGATAGATAGATAGATAGATAGATAGATAGATAGATAGATAGATAGATAGATAGATAGATAGATAGATAGAG